TACTCACTTGTCTTCCTGATCTGCCCTGTATTGTGGCTGTCCCTTTCTATTTGTATGGATGAAAAGCAATATGTAGATGTAAGGTTTTTTTAATAATAATATTTATTTTTACAAAACAAACAGGTAAGGTAGGCGCCATATACTGTATCTCTTCTGACTGTATTTTGACTACATCCTAGCAAGAGGCGAAGAACCTGGTTTCCACTTTCTATGTTAACAGAACCTGTGTGAATGGCACCATGATAGACTCTGAAGTTCACCTGTGGCACGGAGACCGCATCCTCTGGGGCAATAATCACTTCTTCAGGTAACAGGGCTGCAGCAACAGCTTGTTGACCTTTGTGTTTGGTTCCAAGCTGTTGTAAGACTGAGAAATGAAATAGAATAGGGAAAGAAATGTGATAGGAATTGCTGAGTTAAGAATATATATATATATTATGTATATGAATAACATATTGTATGTTTCTCACATGAAGCCATGTATGTCTTCCTTTAGCTGTTAACTCTGAAGTACCATGTGCAATTAATCATAAGAAAGGACAACCTATCACTATTTTATCCGTAAACACAAATTAAAGTTGTAAAGATTTTATACATGGGTTTCCAGTCCTGCAACTGAATTGTTACCCTTATGTTTTTAGTTTCCTTTTACTTAAAAAATATATCTCATATACAGTACGTTGTCAGTTACACTTCAGAGCTCCTTTTGGATTTTATCAAGTTTTTGCAGTGACTGAGCAGTCTAGTCTGGATCGTGTTGTCTCTGTTTAATGTTTTAGAACATCTAAAAACAAGCTGTGACTTTTGTAAAAAAAGGTATGCAAGTGAATTTTTGTCAATGTTAAAATGAAGCCATAAATTCCTTCAGATATCCAGAAGTAGACATAATGCAGTAATTTTCTGTGAACAGACTAGGCTGCCTAGTGCTGACAGTTTTTAACAAGCCAGGGGGTTTGGGGTTTTGGCCCTCTAACAGTTTGCTGTACTGGGCATTTTAGTTCATTAATATGTGAAGAACTAAACACATTAGGGCTAGCCCAAATTTAAATCATGACCTTTAAGGAGACAGACGCCCCACTGAAACCACATGGAAGCTGAGCAGTAAAGAGTGGGGCATTCTAGTGGTGAATTCTGGTGGCTCAATAAATGCTACTGTTTCATTTTACAGACAACTGGAAGTCAGAATTCAAATGTAAGGAATTATCCTTGAGAAATGGTATTAGCTGATCACTGATATCAAATAGATAAAAAAGATAGAAAACAAAACTTCCAGTGAAGACACTTTCAGTAGTGAAGATCGTAAACTTAAATGTGTGCTTTTTCCAGTGGAAAAGACTAGAGATAATTTTGCAGAATGAAAGGCCAATATTTTGCATAGTACATACTGTAGATTCAGGCAGTCATTGTTCTCAAAGTAGTGGACCTGAGGAAAGTGCTCCCAGTACTTGTCCCTTCAATCCTGTTTGTGCCCCCTGCTGTAGGATCAACCTCCCAAAGAGGAAGAGGAGAGACCGGTTGAAGGAGATTGAGAGAGAGTCCATGAAGGATTCCTTCTCCGATCATGATGTGGAGACAGCCAGCGAAGCCTCTTCCGAGCAGGACTACAACTATGAGTTTGCACAGATGGAAGTCATGATGAAAACCCTGAGCAGCAACGGTAAGGTCGCTTTATTAACAACCCTGAAACCATCCACTTCCGATCACTGACACCCACCATTCACAATTTTCCGAGGAAAACCTCGATTGCTGCTGTAAATGGTGCTGGTGAACTAGAGGGTGGAAATTTTAATCTGAGGACCAGAATTTCCAAACCAGGGTCCCAGCATGGTGACTGTAGACACTGTGCTGAAGTACCATCCTTCAGACAAGACATTAAACTGATATTCTGACAGTTTTGTCTTTAAAGATCCCAAGGCAGTGTAAGAAGAGGGGTGTTGGAACCGGTGTTCTGGCTAAATTTCAGACTGGGCTGAAACAATCTGAACTCTGCCATAATTCAATTGGTGTAACAATTTTCGCTTCTATACCCAATCTGCTGTGCAGTTGGGATGCTGGAGCACAGCTAACTGTAGTGAGTGAAAATCCAAAGTCATTGGCCTGGTTTTACAAGCTTAATATATATTCCCTTTTGCAGCATTGGACTTGAGCCTGTGGCTGGCCCAGCTCAACGTAGTGAATGAAGCATAGCATTACCTGCCTGACCTTGCCGGCAATATGTTGTCTCTTACAACAGTAGAGGGTTAATCACTCTCTCTGTCTCTCATTGTTAGTGAACTGCCTCTCAGGCCAGAGCATGTGCGGTTTGTGTTTCTGAGACGAGTATGAGTAATGAGTGTATTTCTTTCAACACAGATTAGGTTTGTCAAACTTGTGGGCTGACTCAGTGGGCTGAATCACAGGCCCTTCAGCAGAGAGCTTGGGTTTGTTTGTGGCTGGCCCGACTCAACTCTGTACAGCCCTACCCTTCTTTATTATTCAGGCTGTGTCCCTGTTGCAGATTGCCTGTAAGCGTCTATCCCTCTGAGCCTCGTTGCTGTAATATGTTTACTTCTGTGTGTTCTGCTAGCTGGCCTACGGCTCGGTTTCTCTTGGATGACTTAGAAATTAAGAGAAGGGTGGGTTGCTTTCTGTGTCTCATTGTAGCTCCACTATCTCTGGGGTATAAATGAAGAGAGTTTCTGCTAAAAATGTGCAGTGCCCCAGCTAGACAGTGTAAGAAGTGTCGCTTGCAGTTCTGTTCTCCACTTTAATAAAAGTAACACTAGAACTGTTCGATTTTGATTCTAAGCCTACCCTGCAGATGAGGTTTACCTAAATTTGTGACAGGACTCTTGCAGTGTGTAACTGGCACGTCTGTATGTCTATACAGCAGACTGTTCTAGCTAAGCATGGCGTGTATGTCCTTGCAATTTCATGTTCTGTGATTATTGTACAGGATAATGCACCTTGGCTTGACCATTATTTCATACAGTAGTTTAACCTGATTGCCTCTATTACCATATGTGAAGGCTCCTGGCCAATGATGGTGAGGGGAGCAGCTTGAATTAATACAGTACCTGCAGTCTCATGGCTGTAGCATGTTGCATTCTGGGAAATGATCAGCTCAGGAAACCTGAAAGCATGGTGATCAAGAACAAAACAACAAAAAACATTTGCTGTCATTTGTTTGGAGAAATAATTCAGAACCTGTACACCAAATCGCAAAGCTCTGTGCTTTAGATTTCAGGCTCGAGTTGTTTAAATCTGCTTTTTTTTTGGGGGGGTGGCATTAATTCACCATGATGTTCATTTCCAGGTTTGACAAGTGAATCTCTGCACCTGTCCTTCTGTGTCGTAATGTCCTGCTTTTCTAAAGTCCAGCCATTAATGCTTTAATCCAAAGAGGAAGCACTTTCTTAAAAAC